TGGGATCTCTGAGAAGAATGGATGGGATGGGAAGGAGTGGGAATACGCGATTACTCATCCCACATCAACCCTTATATTTGATCTAAAAATTTTATTAATATGTTGTTTGCGAAAGTGGAAGCCCCCATCTTCATAGATGTTTGAGGTTGTTTGTACATAAATATGCTCATCTTCTTTACTCCGCACATAGTACAATCCGAATAAGGGATCATCCATAATTCTTGCTAACTTTACTTTTAAGTTAACTATGTAAATGAAACATGAGTTAATCGAATAATTGATTTCTATGGCTACCTAGTTTTAATACTTCAGTCTTTGTTGTACATTTGCTAATTTTGGCACCAAATACCTGTACATAAAAGTTCAAATCTTGTTCAGAGTAGGCTAATAAAATGGTGGCCATATCGGCTTCATCCTGAGCAACACATCCTGGATATGTGTTGGCCATACACTGGCCAATTCAGGAGAGCCTGGGCCGGCACTCCCCCTTTTCCTGCGTTAGTCTGTGTGAACCAACAATCGGGATTTATGATAAATGGAACTCTATGGTTTGGCAAATGGAAGATGCAACCACAGTGTGACTGGCACAAGAATATCTATATAATTTAACCCAGAAACAGAACTGTTAGCAAATTGATGTCTATGGAAAATATATTCCTACACTGCAATAAGCATTAGAAGGTCGTCACTATTATCACCCATAATAATGACTTTAAACGTATTTCACTTTATAAGAACAGATTTTCTATATTATGAGAAGATGAAAAACCAAAACCCAGATTTCTGGAAGGCCATAAGATTGTCGTTGAAGCAAGACAATTATTCCTCATTTAGATATGGATGAACCAGCGGAGAGTCTTTCGTTCCTTGCTTTATCAGCTTTTTCCATGTAATCTTGATGCGATTGATGTTTTGCTCCTGGAAAAGAAAATACAAACTTTTGTTAGGTCGAGCTGTTTCAATATAACCAACATTGAAATCATGAAAAGAAAGGTACAAACCAATGCAATAATCTAAGAAGAAATTCCAACAAAAAATATAGAAGATCCTTGCAGAAAACCACTAGATCTCTGCTCATCTGGCAAACTATACCACATCTTCCAAAAAAATTTTTGCATTCGTTGCTTCTCATTATCGATTCTTTTTAATTTGTCTTCTTTTTTGGTGGAGGAAGGGAAGATGATTGTAACACGAGGAGCTCCTGACCAAATCAGTTTCCAATTATACCCAAATTATTTCCAATAATTACCGCAAATGAAAATGTACACACCCTAAAGAACAGAGATTGGGCCGGATAGGAGATAATGACAAAAGATGTGCCTCCTCAATCATGGCAATGGGTTTTGAAGACCCCCTTCATTTTATTTACAGATTCATGTTGCTGCAGGTCGCTCTAAGCAACCTTGCAATCGGTAAACAAGTCATCAAACTAGTCCAAAGTAGAACTATACAGGAGAATATATCAACGGACCAAAATTTCAAGTGTAGGAAGTTCCTCAACCAAGCCAAACTCAATCGATTCACTGACCGCCAATTACATAATCTGATTCATGAGATAGGTATATTTATTTTAACAACAAGGTTGTTTTGATAAACAGAACTCTGCCTTAGGGGCAATAAACACGACACAATTAAGCCGCCTTTATTTGACAAAGGAAATTTTCAAGCTTATGTGTAATTAGAAAAGCCATGCTTTTAGGAAAAATGTGAGTAAAGCCAAAGCCAACAGGAAAGCCATGCTTCAGTGAGATTTCACTTGATCTCTGTCAGCATTTATCTCCTTTTTCCTTTCCTTCCTGGCTGAGAAAAGAAAGGTACCAGCGTTATTATCTCTACCTCTCTCCCCCCTTCTACATTTCCACATATCTCACGGTACTTAAGGTTCTCTCCCTCCCGAGTCATGACCTCTAACTCTTCTTTCAACTCCCCCACGCTGGCTAAGCATCATTTGATACGTAAATAAAAAAACAATATCACTTTCGTACAACCCCCTTCAACTACTATTTTTCTTCACTACTCTTTCTGGCCTTTTTTTTTTTTTCATTTGAGGGGAAAGACTCAAAGATACGATCGCAATATACAGTCTTCTGCATCCATTGGTCTTTAATAAGTTTGGAGATTATCATTAAAAATTTTAAAAGCGTCAAATCCTGAAGTTGGTTGCCGACTTCGATCACCATTCACCAAAGAAATAGATCAATTATGACCTTTCAAAAGAAGCAAAGACTGCAGACCGTGATAATATTTCTTGTGCATATGCATCAAGCTTATTGGGCAACTCAAATACCATGCACTGCTTATTTAGGATTGCCTCCCTGACTTTGACTTACTTCCAATAAAATTGTTTCAGAAAAAATTGTCATAGAAGTATATTAACCGTTCAAGGTTTAGCTTGATAAATTTCATTGCCCGTTCTTGCTTAGCTCTCATGGACTTAACCACTCAAATTGAACTATTCTTTTAAAAATAGCCATCAAATACTCCAATAGTAACAAGAACAATTCCAAATATCAAAACATTCATTCCAACTGATACTAACCATAGAATTATTTCCAAAAAATCCGTGAAATATATTTGTAAAATTTATTTGTCCAAAAACCCCCGTAAATCCCATCTCTGGTAGTAGCATTAGCACGCATTAACAAATCAATAGCCATATACATCAATCGCATAACAGAAAGTAGCAGCTCCTCAAAGAAATGCCAAATTTTAATCAAATTTTCAAAATCACATTCACAAATAGTGAAAAATAAGGATGCCCGAAACCCAAATCAATCTCACGAGTCTTAGAACAACAGAAATATGTTAAAAGAAAACGAACCTCGATTCATGAGGTACCAAGGGACACCAAAAATGATAGCAATTACGGCGATACCTCCAATGACATGCTTCTTTTCTCCACTATATAAATAGTGTTCCAATTTAGCCTTGAATCCCCCTCCTCCTGATCCACCAGATCCACTTTTTTTGGAATCACTGCTCATTTTTTAATTTTTTTCCTTTTCGCGAATTTCAGTTTCTGCTCCTCGCTCTTCTTAAACTTAAACCCTCGTTCTGTAATTTTCGTGGGGGGTTTTAGACTTTTAGTTGAGGCCCTATTGTCTGTCTTTTTATGTAATTGGCCATGTTTAAATAAAATATAAAATTACTTTAAAATAATATTTTATTTTGAATTGTGTTTACATATTATGAGGGTGTTTGATAGGTATTTTTATGTAAAAATATATTTTTGAATAGTAAATTAATGTGAAATGTGTGGTTAAGAAATAAGGAAAAAGTTTTGATTTACGTGTAATATTATTTTAATAGAGAATATGTGGTTGAAAAGAAGAGAGAAAAATGTATTTTGAAAAAAATGGCTATCAAACGGGCCTATAAGTTTTTTACTTTTTACTTTAAAGTTAAAAATTTACATATTTTAAAAATAATTCAAACTCTTATTCTTTCAAATTTTGACTAACATGCCTTTTCTTGTTTGTGCGCTGCTCCGCAATTAATTCTATTTCCGTAGATCTTATTCGCCTCTCTAGTAGAATAAGTAGAATAAACAACCTTAAAACGATCTCTAGTTGAATAAGTAATTAGTTATTTAAGCCTTGTTTGACGTTTATTTTTTTCAAATTCACTTTCAACCAAACATTTTACAAGACCCGGAATTTTTATTAATTTTCTAATCAAACGTTTCATCAACTTTAATCAAAATTTACTGAAAATATAATTTTTAGCAAAACCAAACAGGATCTTAATGTACATCAAAGAAAATAATAATAATAATAATAATAATAATAATAACAATAATAACCAAAGTGTACGTCCTGCATACAGTGGATATGAAGAACAAAGAGAAGCTGATCTACATTGTTCTATTATTTCTCCTTGACCTGCTGGGAAATTTTGGAGGAGGAGACGGAGAAAACTCGAAGGGAAGCGTTGGGATTTCCATTTCCCGTTTCAAAATCTTAACAATCTCTCCAATGTCAGGCCGCAGTTCAGGCATTTTTTGTAGGCAAGCAAGGGCCAAATTAATACACAAGCTAGCCTCGTCCTTGTCATACTCATCATTAAGTCTCTCATCCACGAGTTCTAATATGTTTCCAGTATGAGCCAAGTGCCTACACCAGCTTATCAAGTTTGCTTTCTCGAGCTTCATCGGTGATGAAAGTACGTGAAGTGGCCGTCTACCTGAGACAATTACGAGTATTAAAACGCCAAAGCTGTAAATATCGGCCTTCTCCATTAAGTATCCACACCCACTGTATTCCGGTGCAGCATAGCACAAAGTACCCCTCATGCTCGTTGTGCTACTCAACTCTCGACTGAAAAGATCTCCACTCCACTTATCACTCCCTACAGATTTGGAATCCTTCTTCTTCCAACCCTTCCTAAAACTGAACTCCGTACCTGGATCATTCACATTGTGGCTCTTGTGACTCGATTTTCTCTTCCTTTTGAAGCGTAAGCGTACTTTGAACAGTTTCGTACTCCTTATTTGAAACTTTTTCACCTTATTATTCTTCTTCTTGCTAAGTTCGTCGAGGTGTTCTTCTTTCCACCATTCTTGAATCTTCTGATGCCTCTTTGATTCTTCCTTCTCAATTGCACCCTCATGACACTCAAATCCCAGTTCTTGTAAGTGATTATCATTAGCTTTTTCAAATTTCTCCAGCCGCGTTGAAATTCTCAATGGGGGGCATTGATTTTCTTCGTCCCAATTAGAATTAGTTGAATGGTAGATTTGGCTTCCTATCCACTCCTTGACATAATCTCTACTGCGCAATTCACCATTACCATCCTGTTTCCACCACCAATCCTTTCCCCATTGTTTTGCACCCACATTGTTACTATCATTATCATCCGTAACCATAGCAGCATTCAAGTTCGACTCCTTACTTGGGCTAATGCTACTTAGCTCATCGTTATAATTCACAGACTTGTTATCGTCCCCCTTGCCATTTTCGATAGTCGAGATAGTCGAGACCTCCTTCCCCTTCACAATCCTATCTTTAATATCAATCTCATTCCCAAAATCACTTCTCCAATTTAAAGAATTTAGAGCCAAATTTTTCACATTATGATGACTTCTACAACTATTTTTTGACGAAGAAGAAGCTTGCAAAGCCAGAGCAAAATCTACCTCATCATGATCATGACTCTCCACTGGAGTCCCAATTGCTGGAGTCTCATTCTCACCACCTTCTCCAACTGCATTCAAGTTCCCAGAAAGCTCTTCACTCTTCAATAATTCTTGGCTTTTCCACAAGTCTTGACTGAACAAATCGACACCAAACTCACCCTCAAGCTTCAACCTCGACAACCCAAAATCCGAAAGTTTAGCCCTAAACTCTGAATCAAGTAACACATTGCTTGGCTTCACATCCCCATGGATCACTGGTGGATCACATTCAAGATGCAAAAATGACAATGCCTTAGCAACATTAAGTATAATATCGAACCTTCTAGCCCAATTCAAACTCATATTATTACAGTTATTATTCGACTCTGAAAATAAAGACTCCTGCAAGCTTTTATTAGGCATGTACTCATAAACCACAAGTCTCTGATCTCTATCCACACAATAACCCAATAAATTAACAACAAGAGGACAAGATTTTAGCGCACCCAGAATATTTAACTCATTCTGAAACTCCTGTTCAAACTGAAATGAAGTTGAATCAAGAATTTTTATGGCTACCAATTTTCCATTCTTAAGAATACCTCTGAATACAGTTCCAGAGCCTCCTTTGCCAATGGAATTGGAATCACTGAAGTTCTGGGTGGCATCCTTTAGCTCTTTGTAACTATACCTCTGGAGCTTGTTTAAGGGTGTAGTGGTATCATATGGGCTGGTGCGAGACCTTTTAACCAAAGAGTACCACAAATAGTAAATGAAATAAAGAATGGCAAACAGAATAACCAGAGAAGAAGAAATTGTTACTGTAAAGAAAATTATGCTTGTTTTGGGCGTTGAATTTGATTTGAATGGCTGTCTTGAGGTCATTCTGCTGCTGGTTTATGGAAATGGTGATGGGAGAAGTTAGGTACTGGAGGGGGTAGGAGGAATTTTGCAGGAAACTCAGGTTTCTATGCTTCACAGTTGGATAACCAAGCCATATATAAGTGTAGATTATTAGTAAGGTCGAGTTCAATCGATGTTTATGTTTTAGTACATAAAGTTTGATATCATTAACAATTTAAAGAATGCTGAAACTGTCGAGTATTATTTAATCAGAAATTCAGAATAGTTTTAGAATATTTTTGGGTATTTTAAGTTAGTTTAATGGCAGTGAGTTGAAATGAGGGGATGAAGATGATTAAAGAAAAGGAGGGAGCTTTTGACTAAAGGGAGCTTTTGCTAGGTATCGGGGGAAGAAAATTGGAAGAAGAGAAAGCAAGGTGTAGTGGTGGGTATTGGGTAATGGGTTCCACTCTGTTTGGCTGGTTTTCATTTTCTTTCAGTGGCAATAATTTATTCGGAAGAATTTCAAGGCAAATTTTCAAAATTGTCCTCTTTTTATTTTTCATTTGTCAAAATGAAAGAGATCATATTTTTATTGTTAGTTTAAAAAGTACCTTTTGGACTAATACCTGTATATTCTTTTTCAGTTCACATCCATGACGTTTATGGAAATGAAAAAGATAATCATTAATCACTCATTCACCAATTTTACCCTCATTTCTTTATTGGCTAGTCCACTCTGTCAATATCATTATTTAGTGATAAATCTAAATCTATCGAATTTACCATGCATTGCCAAGTTTAATAAGCTTGGCATGAGCCATAAGTTCATATAGAAAATGCTAGAACTCACATTTAAGTGACGGAGCAAAACATCTAGGATTAAGCACGAGAGTTCGAACAAATTGCATTCGAAAAATCACCACAAGAAAGAGTTGATTAGACTGGCAAGAAGTTGCCTACATTCATCTGGCACAGAGCCTACCAAATATGCAAGTAATGTCTAACACGCTCACGAAAGAAAAAAATTTATAGCCGCCCTTACCCAAGCTTAGTGCATCAATAAATCTCGATATAATTGTTCTGGACGTAAATGACAAGGTCGTTTTGGACATTTTCTCAATCACCCCAAATCTTTTACTATGTTCTTTTAATCGGGCTAACCCACGTGTAAATAATCTCTTCATCATTAATTTGTTCCCAAAACATGGCCTAAATTGAAAGAAAAGCTGCAATTCATCATTTGATTGCATACTTTAAACGATAAAAGAAGGTCAAGAAAGGCAAGGTTTGAAACATATTGCAGCAAACTTGAAACATGTATGCCTTCTCAACATGATTTTATTTTATAATCCAATTAGATACCAATCATTTTGCCATGTTTTGTATACGGTATTGTATATTGTACAAAGAATGACAATGGTTATATCCAATGCTATTTAATCTTCCTTTCAAACGTGCACTAAATTGTTATTTTACATTGAAATAAAGCTGTTTCATTCTTATATAAAGAAAAAATCAAAATAATCATAGCATTCTCGATGGTTGATCGACTCCATTAAAAGGACCTCTGCCTAAAGAAGAAAAAAATTTAAACAATAAAATAGTTGTCTTACGTTTGTACATCAAAGAGACATACAATACGTAATTATTTTTCTTATCAACTCAATAATGGTACATATGCCAAGTTTCATATGAATGCATTATATCTTATATGACTCATATGTCTAAAGTGCTCTATTGAAAGGTAAGCACTTAACTAGTCTTTGAATATGCCAACGTTATTGCCATGTTAGGTTTCCTTTTTGGCTAATAAAAGACAAGCATGTAGCTAATAAAAGACAAGCATGTACACCCCATTTAGTTAAAGAACTGTCTAATCCTAAAGAGCACCTAACTGACTTTAGATAGTTTATACTTCATTCCATCATTTCTCTACGATTTTGAATTGATAATAAAGTATACGCAGGATCATAAATGAAAATTTTCTTTCTTTCGTAATTATTTGAATATGCAATGATTTATTTTACCGGTCAAATCTCAAAATTTATTGATGTTTTTGTTGGGGAAATTTACACCGATTACGTGCATATTATATTCACAAAAGCATACCGGTTATTTGCATGAAATCAAAACGTAATTTCGACTTACCGAAATAGGATTTGAGAAGCAAAACAAAAAAAATTACCGAATCTAAATGCATGAATATAGATTCATCCCTTTCGATTCTTGAACAAAAGCAAATTATTCTTTTGATCGAACCTTGCAACATAAACATGTAAACAATATTAATCATTTCTGAAATCAAAATCTAATCAAAAGAAATCAGAAAACTGTAGTAAGAAAGATGCAAGTGATGAATTTTTGGTCGAGGCAAGTGTTTGATACTTGGTCCTTAAGATGAATTTGCCTCGCATCGGTGCTAACGGTTTTTCGACAATCATCTCCCAAGATACAACGACCACGTCAAGTTATAGGAGCACTCCAAATGGCTTCGACCAACGAACTCGAATGGAATTCCCTCTCTATCAAAGACATGCATGAAAATGTTATGGAATTAGAAAGAAGAGAATTGTAAAAGGAGAATGAATGCTCAATACAATTGGTGTACTCAAAACCATGTCCATAGGGTTCTATTTATAGATGTAGAAAGGGTGCAAATGAAGTAGTGTGGGTCAAAACATGCATCCTTTCAAAAAGTTGCAACACTTGGCCAAAATCTACATCCTTTCGAAAATTTACGACACTTCATTTCTTTCAACTTTGGTCCGCAATTTCTCATTAATTCGGAATTGGTTTCGAGATTCCAAATATACCACGACGATTTACTTGATGAGTAGAATAAGTTGGTCTATTTACTTTTGTAATTTGACCATCGGATCAAGTCCAAATATTTGGTCGAAGTTGACATGTAATCACACCTTTTCATTTTTCACTTCTACACTTTTTCATTTTCCAATTTTTGGTTAATTATTTGAACTAATTCGTACAATCCCCCATATGAATGAAAATTGGGTACGCATATACAAATGTGATGATACGATGCAATGTAGAGAGGGTGCGAAAAAACACTGCATCAGGGAAGGTAGCTTCTGGCCTTGAACCTTCCTTAGTGAAATATCATCGGACTTACTCGGCTAATTGGTGAACGTGATGTCTTGAACCATTCAGCCTTTAGTGTAAGCCAAGACAACGACACTCACACAATGTCTTCCCTAAACCGTTCATGGCTCTAATGACTTGGTTCATTTTGTCCCTGAACCCTTCTTGGTTCTGCAAGTGTTTAGAGAATTTAAGCCTTGAATAATTTTCATTGAAGCGGCCACACTTCACACTCACATAGGTGACCTCCTTTTAAGAGTATTCTGCCCTACTCCACTTGGCTTAATCAAGATATAGGAATTATTAAAAGATTATCTTAACCTCTTACTACTCTGTAGAAAGCACTTTAATATCATACGAATGAGTTAGGAAATTATTTTCCTAAGTGTTTCGTGGAATCCTCATAACTTAGTTGTCCCTTTGAACCAAAATCTTGGGATCTTCAGTCAACAAGGTAGAGTTACCATTACAAGAACTTTAACGTAGTAGGCTTTACCTCATTCCTTTCGATATGCAGTGTTTTTGATCTCTTTTAGTAAATCTCTTTAAAGGTACCACGAGTTTACACCATTAAGATCAACTGTTTAATGGTATTATGTCTATGACTTATATGTCTATACCTACCATTACACGTGATTTAGTATCTTATCAATTATTGCTAGCAAATGATCGATTTCATTTAATAGATATAAATTGTCACCACCAAGAAATCCTTTCATAAAACTACATGTTTCTTATTAGCTTTATCTAAAACTTTATCAATTTCCAAACAACACTGTTAGAGGATTTTTATCTAATTATTACACTAGTCAACCATGTTTACTAGTGGATTTCAGAGTTATAGGTATTCAATATGATCATTGAAACATTACAGTACATTCGAACTTTATGAATATTCTTCAAATGTTTCAATTGTTCTTGCATGTCCAAACAAACGTCATAATCGTCTTTACAACCTATTTCATCCACTTTAGACTTAGTATATATCATCCTTATAATTAATATAAGGGTTTTCTATCTTTTCACCTTCATAGATATAAGATAGAAGCAAAACATAACTATTAAACTGAGTTACCCCCACAATTCCTCAATTAGGAATACATATGCAATCTAGTAATATTGCATCCACAAGTTTTGAACTTTCTATTTCAAGTTCACAAGCATTAAATTTAACCCCCAACATTCTTGGGTTATACTTGAACTTAGAGTTCATCAACACTTTTATAGTTCTATTCATTTATCTCTTAGATAATATCTGTATTGAGTACTTCGTGAAAGTCTATGTACTTTCAAAGTAGTAATCGTCAACTTCCATATAACGTACTTCAATCTAATTATTTTGATCATCCAAATTAAATCAAGGCCATCATATAGACCAACAATGCTTTCCAAGCATAAACCAATTTTAATTGGTCTCACGATTGAAGTCAATACTACAATAAAGATGGCTAAACATTGCAACTTCTTCAAACATATTTCACATGATAGTTTTATTTCAACCATCAGTTGAAAAGTAGTGTTCTCAAAAGACACAATCCTACAAGAGAACACACCTCTTGAATGTTTCATTTCAACCATCGGTTGAAAAGTTGTGTTCTCAAAAGACACAATCCTACAAGAGAACACACCTCTTGAATTAATCTATATAAAGAGACACACCCATTGGAAATTAATCATACCAAAAGTCATGATTCTCCATATGAAAAAACACATCTTTCCATGCAAAATTTTCTACAATTTCAAATAATTAGGTGACTTAATTCTCATTACTAAATAATGATATCCACTTAAATCATCTCACTTAATTTTATGAAATTAATTGAGGCTATCATCATAGTCAAAGTTAGTATAATTTCAATAAGATATGAAATTTTAACCAACTAATTTACTATACCATTATCATATTCCAATCAAAGGAGTCGTCATGAAAGTTCATATACTTTCATCAAATAATTGGCATCCTTATATGTTAGGAATAATTTCCTTATTTTCATCCATTCATTATTGGACTCGAGTTGTTTTTAACAATATCCAATTCATCATGACCAATGTGAAGGAATAGCAACTTATATTCCAAACATTTATACATCCATTGTATAAGTTTATTCTATTTATAGGAATGTTTACTTCCATATCATAAGAGATATTGCAATCTCATATAGAAGAAAATGGTCACTCACAAGTTCCCAACATGGACATTACACAGAAACAACATATTTTTCGAAGCTAGTAGAAAAATTTCACAAACTAGAATATTCAAAGTATGGCAAGCGTAAATTCATTGGTTCAAATTATAGCAACATATGCATTTAATTATAGTCACATATGCCAT